CCAGCCCTGCTCAGGGAAGGTTGCCTCCTGCTTGTGGCACTGCCGGGAGCTGAGACCCTTTGCTCCTAATATAACCCTCCAGATAACAATGGCGAGCCTTTTGCACTGCCTTGGCTTCCTGCACGCAGCTCTGCCCCAAGATCTGGCATCAGGGAGCCCTGGGACCCTGGTAGGCTTGGTCCTAGGCGTTCACAGCTGTGAGGTTGAAGGGTACAGGGTCCTGTGTTTGTCTCCAGCACAAGGGAGGTTCCTTTTTAAGACATGTGGGTGCCAATCACCAGACTTCCTGGTCATGTGGCTCAGTGGTTCAAAGACTGTGGTGAGTCTCAGAGCCACCGTGCAGGCAGGTACAAGGCCTTGAGCACATTGCCTCATGGCTGTGCCTCAGTTTCTTTATCTGAATAATGAAGACCCTTCTCAGTGAGCTCTCATGACCAAGCAGCAGGAAGCACAGAGTGCCTAGGCCTGTGCCCCTCAGCAGCAGCAAGCCAGGTTTATCAGGTCCCAGAAGCCCATTGGGGGCTGCTACTGAGATCCTGTTAACATTCACTTGTTAGAGTTCAGGTAGAATGTGTTTCCCTTATTCACTGCTGAAACGAAAGACCCAACACCCGGCGTTAAAGGTAGAGAGGCTTATTTGGCTTACAGTTTGTAGAGGGTTTAGTTCATAGTGGGCTGGCTTCAAGGCATGGTGGCAGGGCAGAGGGGCATCGCGGAGCAGGCGGACAGAATGTAGCCAGCAGTAGGCTGCAAGAGACAGGCTCTCTTTCTGTCCCTTAGATTTTATCCAGGCTTTCCTTACCTAGGGCAGGCAGTACTCATACTCAGAGTGGGGCACCCTGGATCTCCCCAACCCACGCCAAAGCAATTAATGGGCAGATTTAATAATCGAACACTCCTGCTTCCAGCATCACTCACCGTGATCCAGCCACCTCTGAAAAGCCCCACCTGTGACCACATGAGGCTTTGGGGTGACATCTGGATATCAGGGAGAGGTGAGGACTGTCACTGTGCCCTTCTGCAGTTAGGACACATGTGTTTTTCTTGGTTTGGGTTTAAAAAAAAAAAGACAGTATCTCTAGGCTTGTCTTGAACTCGCTTTGTAGCCCAGGCTGGCCTCAAACTTGAAGATCCTCCTGCCTCAGCTTTCTGGGTACTGTGATTACAGGTGTGTGCCACCTAGCAGTACCACATTTTTATGGTCAGTGGCCTTGGAGGGCGTGAGACAGGTCAGAGAGTATAGTAGGTACACAGGAAATACTTGCTAGTTGACTCTGTTAGGCATTTGG